AATCTCAAAAAAATAGAGTGAAGACCATTGTTTCTTATACAGTCTATTGATCTTAGATAAAACTATCAGTATGACCTTCCAAATGTGACACATGTGGCTCATTTCCCAACTTGCCTTCATAATATTTATAACATGTATTTAAAAACTTATTATTTTTATGTTTATGAATGTATTGTCTGCATACATGTAAGTGTACCCATGTTGTAGAATGTTCTCCAAGGTCAGAAGAAGGCATCAGATTCCCCTAGAGCTGAAGTTACAGATGGTTGTTAGCTGCCATGTGGGTCCTGGAAATTGAACCCAGGTCCTTTGAAAGAGCAGCCAATGCTCTTAACTGCTGAACCATTTCTCTGGCCCCTATGACGTGTGTGTGTGTGCGTGCGTGCATGCGTGCGTGTATTTGTTTTCACTAGGGAAAACCACCTGCAGGCTAGCTTCTGCATTTGCAGTACCAATTTAACTTTAATTCCAAACACCTATTTCCCTTATTTGTTGTCCTAACCCCTTTAGAGCACACTGTGTTCTTAATTACTTTAATTTCAAAATATCACATATAAACATGTTATTTCATAAACGATGAGACAAAAATAATATACACATAATCTTAAAATTTCTATGGTCAACTAGTTTAAGGAACAAAATATATATCTAGTCAATGTTTATCTGAGAATATTTTTTTTTTACCCAAGACTTATCTACATAGCACATGATAATTGAAAGTACCAGACTGGTGGAACAAACCTTATTGGATGTTTAACAGCCATACTTTAAGGCCTATACTAATATGGTCAGAGGGACTTAAAGGACAGTTTTTTTGCCCCTTGCCCTCCAAGGTCAACCAAGTGCCAGGGGACTATGGAACATCTCTCAAAATGTCCTGTAACTGTGGTGAGTCACCTCTCCTCTTGTTCAGGGAGGATATGGAGACCCTATGAGATGGACTTGAACAAGTGTCCAGTCTACAAAGAGGAGGGTCAACTTAGAGGAAACATCTCATTCGCGCTTCCCAGTGAAGCCAGACTTGATTGATCAGGACCTTTGACTTATCTTCACACAGATGGAACTGGTAAAAGAAAGGAGTCAGGAGCTCCTCCCAAGCCCATGTAACCCCTGAGGGGAAGCCCTTGAAAGAAATTCCAATGGACTCACATATGAACATTTGAAAATTGCCCTATTCTGACTTTTTTCTAGTTCCCTGTCTAGAACTTGTAATGCTAATTACTCTTGCCTTTACTTCTCCTTCA